TTCTGCAAGTTCAATATTTGTTTAGCGCTTCATTCGATTTTTTCTATGTACAATGCATATACTATTACTTATTTTACACCAGCAAATACATACAACATGTATATTTCCTCCGATGAGGCAATTTGTTAGTTGTCGTAAAAATGTGCGAAATTTTTCTTTTCAATTACTACGCTACATTTGCATTCGCAAACAAATTCATTTAAGTGTGACTTGTTTCACACTTTTAGTTGAAAGCTTGAAGGTTATTGTGGGTAAGGTTTCATTTTACTCCCTTTTTTGTGTGTTTCCAACTATAGTCTCTATAATCTCTATATAGAAACAACCGCAGAATACGGTCCGTTAAGGTAGCAAAAGGTGCCCGTTTCTTCTGATCTTAGGGTATACAAATTTTTTGGTGCAAGCTTATATTTTCGAGGCGATGATGGGGCAAAAAATTCAAAAAGGCGATATTTCGAATAATTCCCGACCGTATTTCAAAATATTTGTTTCATTGGAAAGATAAATAAAACCGTTAATATACTTTATGTAGATAAATTTTGGAAAAATCATTTAATAGAAAAAAAATTTATTTTTGAAAACAAACATGCTGTACTAAAAAAAGTGTAGGTAACCATACACAGGGCTATAATAGTTCAAACGAACATTAAAATATCTTTAATTTGGTATATATATTTTTATATAAACTATATTAAATCGTAGTATATCCGTGTAAAGTGGCAACAACTTACATTTTCTAACTAAAATTAAAAAGTTCATGTTCCTACGACATTGCAAAAATGTGTTAAAAAGCTAAAGAAGCCAGAGAACCAAGTACAGGAATGCTTTCTGGTTAATTCCTGTAAATTTTTGCAACGTCATGCGAGTTAGGTAACGCCTTCGGCCGCACTTAGAAATTATAACCCTTATTAAGTAGAATTCTCCTTTCTGTGTTGCCGGAAAAGAAGGGCGGCAATATTTTTGCGCAGAACTTATTTCGGCCACTGTCGTCCCGCTCAGCATATAAAGCAGTGTTTGCATTGTCCAACTTTGCGTTCAACTCAACGCAGGGTTGCAAGAAAAAATTTGAATGGCTAAATGTTGGCTGGCGACCAACTTTGTTGAAAACGACCGTTCAACCAAAATTTGAATGCAAATTTGAACCATGGAAACGCTTTTTTATGGCAAATATTTTGATATTTTTTTATATAACTATATATATTTTTAGCCATTCGTCTCTTTTTTCGTGCAACCCTACGTTGAATTGAACGCAAAGTTGAACAATGCATACACTGCTTAAGCATCAGTATAGTCAATTCTCTCTTCGTCAACAGCACAGGTAAAAGAAAATTTCTCACGGTATTTAAATCTAAATAAATAGAATTACATATTAAATAAAAGGTATTTTTATACCCTATTTAACTATTATAGTGTGGTCTATGGTTATTTACCTACATATATATATTTTTTAGTAGAACTAGTCTTTTTATAAAAAAATACATATTTCGGTTCGGAATTTTTTGAAAAATAGCCTTTGGAAATTTTCGAAAATTTCCCCTTCGCCCATCCATAGCCCCGCAAAAAAACTTTATTTGTACGCTTAAAATCTAGGACCAAACCAACTTTTTCGTTTTGTTTTAGCTTAACGGACCGGAGTCTGCACTTATTCGCGCGTCTCAATATACCTTGACCGCGTCAATTTTAAAATTGGTAGTTGGTTAAAAAGGCAAATCAGATAATGTCCTGGGCAGGACACAAAAGCGATTCTTTAACCAATATTTTATATAAGAATACACAGATTGCTTAGCTAAGCTAGACTAGCTAGAGATTTCACACATTTTTAGCAAAATATGGCGGCCTCAACGGTTTAAACTTTAGTGCCAGTGGCACTCGCATGGGTTGCTCAACAAACTTATGTAGGTACATATGTATGTACATCTGTGTCCGATTTTTCATGTTTGAGGACTGTGGCCCTAAGCTCACCAAACCCTAACAAACAATAGAAATAAGACGCGTTGCAACTATGGTTGGTTTAATTCCGAAAATATACTTATGTATATTTTAATCTTAGATTTTAAGTAATTCGCAAAGAAATCATTATTTTTAATGTTGATACCTATTCCGCCGAATTTCCTAAGGTGAAATATGCTGGGTACACATCGCTTACTTTACGGAAGAAAATCTGTAAAGTAAAGAGCGTGTCAGACGTGGCAATGCAATATATTTCGAAAAGGCTGTAAAATTGAGAAATTTCAGAAAGCAGTTGCATGAGCAGTCACACCTTGAATGTAAAGTGGCTTTCGAAAGCGGTTTTTTTTATTTCCGAAAGGCCAATTGCAGATTGCTAGTGCAGCACGAGCAAGTTGAAATATTAAAATATATTTCCGAAATCGATTTGCGCGCTTCGAGTTGCCGTCGCACCTTGCAACTTTCATTTCTGAAACTGATTTCCGAAAAGTGTCTTTCTGGATGTTCACACATGGAAAAAAAATTTCTCTTTCTCAATTTGACAGTGAATTGCGTGGAAAAGTTGGAAATATTGCCAAGAAGTCTGACACGCTCTTAACAATAGTAAGTAATGTTGCGCTGGGAGGAAACATTTGGGTATTTCCTTCTTTGAGAGTTCGTGTAAATCACTTTAAAGGATTTTCTTTGACAATTCGTAAAATAGTCTTACAGAATTTGGAAACATTTCCGATACTCGTTAAGATTTCCTTAAGACTTTGGATACTTTGGTTTGCAGGGTATGTAATATCGAATTACAATTTTATAATTAAATAACCAAGAATGTTTTGAAAAGATTTTCTGAGGATATTTGTGTGTTGGAAATTTAGCAGTTAGCATACATTTCAAATAATCCCCCTCTGATGCAACCTACATTCAAATGACCACAATTAATAGGCACTGGAATATTTGCGTAGGTACTCACTCACCTTGACTTGCATATGAAACCTCAGCCTGCAGGAGCAACGATGCCAAAATTACAAATACAACCAAATTCAATTGCAGCAGCTGCTGCCGCTGACACTTTGTTTGTTTCCATTTCTGTGGCCACACGCTGCCACCCGAGCGTGGAGACCACATTTTTACAACTTACAAATGTTGCCGAGACTCCTGTGGTGCGCAATCGATTGGCGCCCCGCTGACGCTTGTCCGGATTGTAATATGAATCCTCTTTGATTTTAATCCGTTTTTGGCAAACTTTGTATGCTTCTTTTATTTTATGATTTTTCAACATTTGCAATATAACACGGGTGTGACATTTTTAACACTTTTCGCACTTTTTTCACACTTTGACAAATACGCTTTGAATGTGTGTACTCAAAGAAGCTGGAACAGGAGTCGGGGAAGTGGTGTATGTGGATTGATATTCGAAAAGTAATTAAATTTGTTTAGAAGAAAAAATTGCAGTTTGTTATCAATTGCATGAATGAATTCAATGGCTTTGCCGGCTTTTGGCCGACACACACACCCGCACTCATAATTCTACTATTATTAAACAATTCACATTCGCACATCGACTTTTATTGTTGTATGTTTTTGTTTCGAATAAACAAAATGCACTTTAAAGCGAAACAAAAACAAAAATTCGGACTGATAAGCACTTCCTGAACGTTTGCAATTTGTTATGTTTATCTCACTCTGGCGAATGCCGGTCGCCCGCAACACTTCCGCCTGTTGTGCTTTTCTATCAAATCGGTTGCAGAAAACAATTTCGCAGACTACAAATACTTTTGCTTCGATAAAAAAAAAATGTGCACTTTTTCTCAATTATAGCACTTTAGCGCGCGCTTACAAAGCCGAGTTGCGAATTTTCAGCGCTTAATTTATCATTAATATGCATAGAATTGCAAAAAATGGCACTTTTTATTCAAAATACATCAATTTTATTTATGAAAACATCGTGTGCACTACGTTGAACTGCCGCAACCATCCGCTCAAACAACCATACGCCATCTTCGAAACTACCAGACTGATTATTTGACTTGGCGCTGCATTGCTGCCAGACTACCAAAAAGACGACAGTCAATTGTTTTACAGCGCACTAACAGGTAACGGCGGCACCTGTCGGGAAGTAGTACATGTTTTGGAGCAGTGGGGAATTATGTGGTGAATTCAACACCTACAGCCGAGAGTGGTAAATGTGCAATGGCGTGGAATTTTAAATGCCGGATAAGCTGTATATTTATCGAATATCCGGATATTCAAAATAGAACGCATATTAACCCGATATCCGCATAAAAAATAGAACGGATATTAACCAGATAACCGGATACACGAAAATCCGAAAGGATTATTTCCCAGCCCTCTTCGGCCTTCAGGCATCATTGTACACAATCTCTGCTGTGAAGATTTTTTTATCGGTTAAATGCGCTGTAGCCAATTCTCCTATAAGTTTAGGTTAAGTTCGCCAATATAGGGCCGTTGTGATCGATTCCTTTGGACGTTCAAAAGCTTATTCGGGTTCGAGCACTTTTTTGGTAGTGTTTGCCAAAGCTCTTACTTCCAGCTGTAAGATATATGCAAGGTCTTCAAAAATGTTTTGTAGTGCGTGCGTAATCTTCTCTGTCGGGCAATATGGGGGACCCATCAGCTGCCTCCTCTATGGCCTAAATTTCGGTGCCGAAGATATTTAGTCATTAGGCTGAGAATTCCCTCGATCCTTGAGCCAGCTTCTATATTGGCTAAGTCAAATGATAGGTCAGGTATTCTACGACTGGTTTTGATTACACCTCAAATGAGTCCAAGGGCCGGTTTGCAAATTGGCTATCAGACTCGATTTTCACCGCCCTTAAGGACATCACAATGTTGAGCACTTAGTTGCAGCTGCCATTTTTGCTAAGAAGCAATACATTAGTTCATAAGCCCAAATGTAATATGAGTAGAGAATAATCTGCTTGGAGCCAGTTTGAACATGCTGTGATATGCGTTGTCCAAGCCAGAAATACTTACTAAGGGCCGCTTGTTCAATGTATGATTAGCACAAATCGGAGGTAGAAGCTCCGGTTAAGTACAACGACTGCTTTATCGATCACATGTTATATGCGTGATTTCGAAAACGTCGATAATGATGTTCAACCGGCAAGTAGTGATAACCAGACATTGAACAACCGGCCCTAAGAGTGGCCAGGGTCTACTTAGCATTCAGTGTTTGACCATAGCTCGTGCTGCATAAACCTTACCTATCATTTCGACGGACGCTTTATTAAACATGAACTGAAGTGCGTTCGACTCAACCGCCTTTATCTGATTATATAACAGAACAGTTTTTATTAATTAATTTATTTATTTATTTATTCTACGTGAGCTTTCTATCGCAATCAGACCATTGTGTTTGACTCTAGAAAGCGTAAGGGAAGGGTCAAATAAGGTACTCTGGCCCAGTTACGGTCTGTATACTGTAGCACTCTGAACTTCTACCTATCCAGACTCGACCCCGACTTAGCTAACACCCCTCTCCCTTTAGTCTAACCGCGCCGAAACGGCACGTTCCTTAGGCCTGCCATTAGTTGAGCTTGATGAAAATGATTGATGTACAAAAGGGCCACAAAAATGAAAAATATGTGATAAAACGGATTAATTTGTTGATAGGGATATCGATTATGAGATCAAGAAATGTATCGATTTGTTTTTCTTTTTTAATGAATTGATACCCACATTATGATTATTTTAAATAGCGAACTGCTATTGGTGAAAGCCAATTCTGTATAAGTTCGAGGATCATATTCTTAACAAAAGCAAAGTCCAGGTTCTTTGAAAAAAATTCATTTATTCTAATTTGGTTACCGAATCGTATTCCAATAATCAAAATTTTGTTTATTTCAGTCTTTTGTGTGTTTTTTAATATTCTGCTCCTCTTTTTCGGATTGACTAAAGTTGTGTTCAATAATACGTCCACGTTCGAGCAATTCGCGAAATGTACGAATATCCTGTCTTAATAATCCGCGGCGATATTTGATATTCAACAAAGGATAGACCATGTCCAACTGCGTCTCCTCGTCGTGACGATTCTCTGGCAATTGTGCGAGTAGTGCACGCTTTCGACTCACAAAGGTACTCATCTTAGTTACATCATCCTGTTTTTCTTCGAAAATCTCAATATAAATTTGGTAAGCGTCCTTTGCAGGCGCATAGTGTTCACGAATCAATGGGATGGCCTCATTCCAAGTTTGTACCTCTTTACGCACACCTTGCCACCATATCGCTGCCTCACTGTAGAAAAGAATTGCAATACTTTTCAGCGCGTCCTCGTCGCTGATCGATTCCATATCTTTGTAGGCGAGTACCGCTGATATAAACTCCTGAACATAATCGTAATCATGTTGATCACCGAGGCGACTATTGCAATACACGAAGGTGCCCTTCATTTTCACTGTTGCTGGGGCGGCACAATTGGCCGCGGCAACGGCTGCTAAACGCACCGAATCGAGCAGTGACTGCAGTTGTTCGGTGGTTAGTTGCACGAAGGATTGCGACATGTTGTTTTTGGAATCGCCAGAGAACCGTCAGTGTTTGTCGATGCAGCCTGATCGAGAAATTGGCGCGCACACCAAAAAGCCAACTGGCGCTGGTGTACAACTTGTATGTTTTCCCGCTACTTGCGCTGAGAATTTGGTTTTTGCTGAATGAGACTGAGTTTAGTTTCGTAAATAAACAACTTTTATACACAGAAACTTGTTATGAGCCAGCTTCGAGAGTATGAGTATTCGCACAAAGTGTATAAGAAAAGCTCCATCAAATTATTAGATTCTTACTCTCGCTGCAAATCTGTATGCATTGCAAATGCAAATGTAAATATGTATGTTCGCATTACTACTAGTATTGGAGTAGCCACGAATTCAATGCCACATTAATAAAGCCAGCTGGTTTCCCGCAGTTCTCTCTTTATTCATTCAAGTGCATGCGTATGCACTAGGGATGTTTCGAATGTCATATTTTTCACATTCGCGAATGCGTTTTAATCTAATAGACAAAGTTCAAAAGGGACCTATTACATTTCAGAAAAATAATTTTGCTGCCTTTTCTCCCATGAGGCGATTTCTTATGGGGTCGTATATAAGGCCGGCAGCACAAAAAATTGCTCACTTTCGACGAATAAAGTACAAAAATTAACTAAAACGTGTAACTATTAATACAACTAAGTTAAAACAATAAATATCACTGAAATATTTTACAGGTCATCACAAAAAGAGGATAAAGTGCAGACATTAACAAAAAATGTGAACATATTTGAGGGCGCCCAATTAGATCTACATATGTATCACTATTTTCTACGACATGCAGCAAGGTACAAGGGTTGTTTTGCCTGTAAAATACTAAACGTTAAATTGAAACAACCATAACATATATGTATGTGCGTTACGATGAGATTGTGAGCTTTGGGATCCTTAACTGCGCGCTCTGGCCATTGTCCGGATATTCGAATATCTGATGAAAAAAAAAACCGGATATCCAAATAACAAAATGAACGGATATTAACCGGTTATCCGGATAACAAAAGAGAGCTGATACTAACCAGATATCTGGATAACAAAGTAAACGGATGGTAAGCGGTTATCTGGAAAGCAGAACTAACGGCTATCAACCGCATATCCGGATAACAAAAGAGAACGCATATTAACCGCATATCTGGATAACAAAAAGAACGGATATTAACTTGATATCCGGATATTTTCTTTATACACGAATATCCGAACGGTTATCCCGATAAACGAATATACGGATAGTCGCAGCCATAGTATGCACAAATTCACCTGCATACTTACATATGGATGTACATACATATGTATGTTAATAAGTGCTTATATATGAAGCGTTCAAAATTTTTCGAGCGATTTCTTTCATTTGTGAAATACACTGAAACGCCGGCGAAAGTTTCACCATCTGTTGAAATGAAGCCGTTAAAAAATGTGGTTTGCCAAGTTTAATACCATAACACTCAAATGCATATCAACATAGCTGTACACATGTAATAACATACATATGTATTTCAATACATAGGACAAATGAGGCCATGAGAGCCAGGGGAACCTATTAACAAAAAAACTTTAATGATATGAGAATGAAGGATGTATAAAAAATAAATGCGGCCTTTTCCTAAAAAGTTCATTGCACCTACGTGATGCTACATATTTTAGTAAAAGAATACTAAAAGGGCTTACCTCGGTATATAAACGTTTCGAGTCTAGTAATGTATTTTAATGTGGACCTCAACTTTTTTTGGAAATGTCAGTTAAGCTACTCTGGCCCTCATGGCCTCAAATATGCTACATATTTGCAAAGAATTCAGGAAATTCGGGGCTTAGACTTGCCAATTTTATTATTCCTCTGCAGAGAAGTCCAAAGTCTCAGTAAAATTATATGGAAAGAGCCAACCAAACTATCTTCGAAAAAGTAGCAATTGGCGGATCACCCCATTAATGAACTGAAAAGGCTCAGACGTTCGATCTGGCCGGCAAAACCTTCAGATACCACATAGGCCTTTGCCGATGTCAGAAGTAAACGATGTAGTATTGGTAAATTGTGTCGATGATAAATCGGTCTAACTATAACTATATAGTATAACTGTGTTCTTACGCACGCTTCTTGTTGTCGTGTAGAGAAGTCGGGAGATCCTCGACAGGACGTAGGCGAGGACTGGACAGAAATTATAGTCATTTTAAGGTAATTAATACCTTCGATTGTTTGCAGTAAACATTTATGTATGCACATATGTATATGTAACTATTAATACATACATACATACATACGTACATATGTATTAGTGTTGGGCAGTATCGATACCAAAAGTACTCAGAACTCGATTCTCAAAAGGATCGACAGCACCCGATTTTTAAAAGTATCTATACAAAATAGTCCAAAGTACTCAGTACTCACGAAAGAACTCGAAAGTACTTAGAACCTAAAAGAACTCAAAAGTACTAAGTACTCACAAAAGAACTCGAAGGTACTCAGTACTTCAAAATTCTCTATTCCAATCACGACTTTGATACATGTACTTAGGATACTTAAAAGTACTGAATAGATACTTAAAAGTACTGAGTTTTATTTACATTTACCGGTATTTAGAAATATTTGTACTCAATTTGAAGTTTCAATAGTTTTCAAGTAGCCACTCATTTGACGTAATTTGGAATATATATATTAATTTTAATAAAGTGCTGCCAGCTTGCGAGATTTCTACACTAATCATTGAAATGTTACCAACAAGTGTATATTTAAAGAAAGTACTCAGTACTCTGAAAAATACCCGATCCTTAAAAGAACAGATTAAGCTTAAAAAAATTGCATAAAAATATTTAAAAATCTTTTCAACGGAATCGTAATAATGAGATCTTTGATGCTGTTTTTTTCTTACTTTTTTTAAAGATTGATTTACGAAAATCTTGAATAACTGCGCACAACCTATTCTGATTTAGACTCATGGGATCTCAGTAGCAAGGTATCTTCCCACTATTTCTACTTCTGTCCAAAAAAAAGTCATTCGTGGCACAATTTTTTTTTTTTCAAATACCAACACATCTTAATTCAACTTTGAATGATGTTCGTTCATCCTACCTTTCTCTTTCATCCTTTGAATGAGCTTATTAGCGAAGAAATAAAAAGGGGGAGAAAATACCTTTTCAATGATACCTCACAAGTCTAAATCGGAAGAGTTTGGGTTCAGTTATTCAACTTTTTCTTATACCAATCTTTGAAAAAAGTTAAAAAAAAGCATCAAAAATCTCATTATTACGATTCCGTTAAATTCTTTTTTTTTAATTTTTTACAAATATTTTTTATTCAGATTTTTTAAGCTTAAACCGTTTTGTCATTTGAGGGGATTTAAAGAAAAAAAATCTTTAAGAAATTATTTTTATTTATAAAAAAACTCCATTTTTGGAAGTATATTCAAATCGGTGCAGCTCACGTAAATATTAATATTTTTCCGAAATATTTTGGTGGGCGTCTTAAAATATAATATATATAATGTAAACACAGTGCCGATTTTTTTTTATATGGGGAGTGATGCAGTCTAATGTACATACATACATTAATATGCTAACAGAAAATATCCTTAGTTTTCTGTAGTTTTTGTTGCAAGCTCTTTAATTTGATTTGTATTTGTTTTGGTAAAGAAATATTATTTTCGCATTTTCATCTCTGTAAACAAATTATCGTTTGACACTTTGAAACAAAAACGATAAGTTTTATTATTTCCTCTGCGTAGATTAAGTTTACTTACATACGTATGTACATATATAAAATCAATAATAAACAATTAAAATCAAGCTATTTAGGCAATTCTTCGAAAATGATATTCTACACTCACTTTTAAACATTAGACGGTCCGACGCAAAAAAACAAAAAAAAAAAAACGATTCATAAAATTAGGTCTACGTATTTTAAAGCTATTGTTGAATTCAGGGTCACTCATTTCTTTTGAAAAAGGTCAATGTTTCATTAATAGAATATGTAAAGCATGCCTTATTTCCAGTAAATAGCTTTAAAAGAAAGAGAGATTGAAATTATGGAGATATGCGTTAAAATTTTTTTATTTAAAGTCCTGCTGGCATTTTAAACGCGGTTTTAATTTTATATGTATCTAATTAGGTATCATGGATATTTTTATTGTTATCTAAATGTGTGGGGAATCAATCTGCCGAAGGCCCGAAAGCTGCAGCGAAAATTCTTTGTCATATGAAGGAAATACTAGAAATAATCACAAATACACCAAAAGGAAAACTTTGTAGAAAAACATTTCATGCTAAAATTTAATACGCTTTTTTTTGTGCGGGGGGTTTTTCTAAAGAAGTTTAATTCGTGCCAAAATAATGAGCGAGAACAATCGAAAGAATTGACCCCCGACAAACGAAGTTTAATAATAGCTTTGCTTGGCGAGACATCCTAATGTGCTCACTTACGTGCTTACTTACGTACCCTGCAGGTAAATCCATCGATGCTACTCCTCAATTGAAAGCTTGCATCGAGAGCTATAATACTCGAATATGCCCTAAATTGTAAAAATTTTCCTCCTGTTGATCGCTTTTTCATTTCAAAATCTTGAGATGGTGTTGGAAAAATCACAAATTTGTACATAGATGTTTCCGTGAAGCCTCGGCGAAACATTCAGGTGACCAGAAAGCAATATTTTTGTTTTTTTTTCTGAAAATACAAATATCGTTCATTTAATAAAAGACTGTCATAACTCAAAAACGAAATTTCTAAGAAAATTATACAGAATTACTCGTTATAGCTAAAATCTTGTGTAGTTTCCTACTAAGGAAACAATATGCATTTTTTTTTTCTAAATTTCGGAAGCAAATTGAAAACTTTAAATGCGTCCTCTGAAAAATTTCGCTTTTTGAGTTGTGAGCCATATGGTAAATGGGCGATAAGTTCTTTTGTTAAAAATCTTAATCACTTAAAATATCAAATCGTCAAAAATATTCCAATGGGGATGAATGTTGATTATTCGTTTTGTGGAAATAATCAAAATGATTTGAAACAAATATTTATACGAAATTGCCTTTTGTTTATGAAAATCTGAAGTGTTAATCCAAACAAGCGCTTATTGGGAATTTTCAAAAAGTGTAATTCAATACGCGCGCGTATATTTGTTTACATATGAACATATATATGTATGTACTCGTACATATGCGTATTTCAATGTGGCCGCAATATACATACATATATGTAGATGGATATGAGGGTCAATCCATGTCAAATCGGCCAATGATTGGAATCGGCCATTATTGATTTGAACGAAGTTTGCTTAGAAATTTTATTTTAAGGAAATTCTGCCAAAGGAAAAAAATCGAAAGTTCAAAATTTCACAACCTTTGAAGGATTTCGCCATTTTTCTTTTTTAATATCTCCAAAACTACTATAGTTACAAGCCTTGTTTAAGGCGATATTTGTGGATATATAAAATATATACATATGTATATCTAAAAACTAATTCAAAAAATAAATTAAAAATTACATTTTAACATATAAGCAAAGACCTATTTAAGTTTTTTTCAAAATTTTTTCATTAACTCTTACTGATCTTAAAATAATCTGTTTTTAGTTTTTTTCTGAAATATGAATTTTTGAACTTTGCAAAATAATTTTTTTGCAAACACTAAATTAAAAATAAAACAAAAATTGTTTAACATAACATTATTTAGAGTTTTCAATTTTGTTTTTTTTTTCAAAGTTCAAAAATGAATAGATATCTTACAAAAACACATTCTTTAAAATTTCTGGATCAGTTGCGTTATTGTATGAAAAAAATTTAGCTGTATGAAAAAATGTAAAAAATATGGAAGTTTGCTTTTACGATTTTTTTTTTATTTAAAAATTTTATAAAATTTTATATTTTTTATTTTTCGAATTTTTGTATATGTTTTTTCTTTATACCATTAAAACTCAGCTTTACCACGAGATGAGACCATTTTTTTACCTACAATAGTTTCTGATATATTCAAAACTTAAACTTGTGAAATTAAAAATTTTGCATAACTTTCGAAAAAAAATTTTAATTTTCAAAGATGGTCGTTTTCAACCATTGGTCGATTTGACATGGATTGACCCATATGCTAGTGTGTATTTAAATACATACATATGTACTTATTGTACAAATGCATTCTATGTATACAAAAGTATATAGAATTTCCACGCCGAAAGTAACTAAATGGCAATATGCCAGGGCCGGAGTTAAGTGGGCGTTTTCATGTGATTTGCTACCCCAAGCAAGCAAAGCAAAAGCTCCCCTTGTCAACATTTCGTGAACGCTGGCATAAAATACTAATACCATAAGTGTTCTGTTCACACAAGTGAGGTTTTACTGTATATAAAACTACGAAAAAATGAGCGCCTGTCAAAAGAGCAATTTTAATGCTAAAAAATTAAAAAGAACCCGCTTGAAAATGGTTTCGACTTTCGAAGGTAAATCCTCGATTCAAAGCAGTAATAAATCAATGGGTTTTTTGTCAATCGCATCATCACAGATCGTGGACAACTATTTGCTTTGTAAGGCATCTGTTTAATAATTCTTTAAGCTGGTGGTCTAGAGCGCCCTTGAATTTTACGAGTTTTTGGGATTTTCTTTTACTAAGAAGATAATAAACAACGATAAATTTTAGTATCTGCGAAAAACTGTGTTTTAACTGCCGTTGTAACCAGCAGTCTAAGTGAAAAAAATTAAAAAAGATTTTTTTACTTCTGCCAGTTTTCCTATTAAATAAAAATAAAAATTATCCTTTTTCATTAAAATTACTTTCGGAAACTTTATTTTTGAAAATTTAAACCAATTTTACTGTACTCAATGAAGTATAGTTTATATTGCTTTCAGCCCCGTCTACGCCTCTGTGGCACGTATATTTACATTAGTGCATTAGGGTGGGACGGTTTTTTTTCGTAAAAATGCAGATTAGCTTAAAACGCAGTAGATTTGTTTCGTAAGGATTTTTCCAATACATACCTTAAAACAAATTTTTAAAATCTTTAAAATTGTACGTCCAGTTTAAAAATTACCAAAAATTATGTCCGGTTTTTAAACTGACCAACAATTTATGCCCAGTTTTAAAATTACCTAAAAATTACGTCTGTTTTTTTAAGACCCAAATTTTTTGTGCAATTTTTGAACCATAAAATTATGTCTAGTAAAAAGTTATGTCCAGTTTTTAAATTGCCTAATATTTATATTTACTTCCTAAATTAAAAGTTATGTACATATATACGTAGATATATATGTATGTCCGGTTTTTGAATGAGAAAAACTTATGTCTCTTAAAATGACCAAAACTTAATGTTCACTTCTTTAATGACCAAATTGTATGCCCAATTTTTTAATTTCCTTAAATGTATATTAATTTTTTAAATTTTGATTACCCTCAATTTATGTTTAGGTTTTCAAATGATGAAAATTGTATGTCTAGTTTTTTGAATTACCCAAAAATTGTATCCACTTTTCAAATTAAGAAATATATATGTCCGAAATTTATGTCCAACTTTTTAAAAGATACCAATAACTTATGTCCAGTTTAAAATGGCTAAAATTTTTAAAATAACCAATATGTCCGGTTTTAAATTACCCAAAATTATATTCAGTTTCTACCAAATATATATGTACATTTTTTTAATGACCAAAAACTTATGTGCAGCTTTTAAATATCAATATCAATGGCCAAAATATATGCCCCGTTTATAAATTACCAAAAATTTATGTCCAGCTATTACTTTCAAGCACTCACCTATGCACACCCTATGAAAAATATTCACTATAAATACATACATACTGGTATGTATTGGTATGTACATAAGCACTGGAATATTTTAATACGAGGGCAGTTTGATAAGTCAGCGGCCTTTTGAAATTCCCGTGTTCTTCGTAATTTACTTAGTTTGTGCCTGGCAGCCATTAAAAGCAAACAGGTTCTCTGGACGGAATTGCCTATTAAGCTGCGAACTTCCAAAAACCTGGCTAGGAACTGCTGCTCTATCCAAATTATTCTGCTAACTTAGAACCCTTTGCGTTTTTTTCTGTTTTCAAGCCTGAATAAAAGGTTCGGCGGTAAAACGTCTATTTTGGAGACCTTGACGTAAAACTTTTATTCAAAAAATCACTGACTTATCCGACTATCTTCGTATTTGCTTGTACATTTTCCCATCGACACAAGGATATAAAATAATGTGAGTGCCGAATTTGAAGACAGTCTACTACGACCATTGCGGATAAATGGATTCGCCACAATCCGTGGCTTAATTCTTTGACTCAAAACTTAATAACATTTAAAGTATAAATAAGTAAATAACGAAAACAAGAAAAAACAATGACAGACCCAACTTTAACTATCACTCACGAGCAACTAAAATCACTTATAGAATCTGTGCGGTTAAACATTCAAGCAAGCGCCAACGCTGCCGCTCCAGCCACCGTCCAAACCAAGGGCAGCTTCTCGAACTGTAGCAGCCATTTCCGTGGCCAACGTGACCATGAGGCCGTCGAAGAGTTCATCAACTCCATCGTAACTTATAAAGAAATTGAATCTATAAGCGACGAAGATGCGCTTAAAGGGCTCTCTTTACTACTACAAGGGCTTGCGTCCACTTGGTGGCAAGGCGTGCGCAAAGAAGCGAAAACTTGGGCGGACGCCATTGCATTGATACGCGATAACTTCTCGCCCACCAAGCCGGCCTACCAAATCTACTTAGAGATCTTTGGAAAACGGCAAGACGAACGCGTGGCAATAGACACTTTCATTTGCCAGAAGCGCGCTCTACTCGCACAACTGCCTGAGGGACGTCACGACGAGCAAACCGAATTGGATTTGGTCTATGGCCTGCTGAACATCAAATATCGAAAGCATATTCAGCGCCAAGATGTTCGGACGTTTCGCGAGTTGCTGGAGAAGGGACGAATAATTGAATTCAATAAATTGGAAATTGACGTCGCTCAATCTAATTTGGCGCGAGGACTAAAACGCACAAAACGCTGCACCTACTGTAATTTCCGGGGGCACAGTTTTGAAGAGTGCCGCAAGCACAAAGCAAGCGAAAACAAAGAAAGGAAGGATAGTGAAAATAAAGATGAAGAGTAATAAAAAATATCCGCTTCAACGAAATTCCTACAGTACAAACAGACGCAGCACGTCCCGAATTCACTAACCGAGACTGATTGTCGCACAACTAAACAACTCGTCCTTGGATCTTCAAAACGGAGCAGAAAGCATTCGTGCAGCCAGCAGTTCGCTAACCGCCGCAACAGAAATTTATTTAAATTAATTAAGTTGTAACAGTTTTCTTAGCTTAAATACGTATTGTGTACAAGTTATTGTGTAAGTTAAGTACATTTCCGTAACTCATTCAGCCTATCCCGACGTCCGAGGTGTTTCGCACTTCCTACAAATCTAATTGAAATTTTTTTCTTCGCAGCGCAAAGTGTCCAACTGCACCTTTCGAGTGCTTTGAATACTTTGCTCGACTGCAGTGATATTTCTATTGGAAGAGCGGGAAGAAAAGAGACACCTGGGATACACCAACATCACACCCAAACTATTCATCCGCAAACCCAGACACACGCTGTGCCAAGCACGGCTTCAGATGGCTACGCACGCCAGCAATGGAGTTTCTTCATTGCCAATTTGCATTTTTTCTTCTGCAGATCATTGGAATTTTGCAATGAAAATCACCAGAAGAACATTTGCAACGAGTCACCACAGCAGATATTGGAATTCGTCCGGCTCAACATTTTTTGTGTGCATAAATTTCTTTCGTCGTGTCGTCATTCAAAATTACTACTTTTTCTTGGGTCCATTTTAAGTGGCGTCGTGGTTGCACGTCAAGCAGCTGGCATCTTCAGTTGAGGCTGGCAACTGCTTGACGTGTAACTACGTGATTTGGCTTTGGATAATCAAGGAAAAGTAGTTTTTTTTATAATGTTTTCGAAACTGACGAAAGAAATTTTGTACGAAATGTTGGGCTTAGAGGCGAATTCAATAGCTGTAAGTGACTCATAATCGGCCGCATTTGAGTTCGGACGCTGTGAGCTAAAAGATATTCACTACAACAAATCCGCGAGCCAACCTTTCTAAAGGCTATTCTGGATTTTCTAAAATTAAAGATATCTTCAAGCATCGGCGTCTGCGCTTCCATGAGGCCACATCTATCCGTCGCACATCAGTAAAGCTGTTGCCTACAGCGTGTGTATGTATATTTTGTCGTGCCTCTACATTTTGGACACGCCTGTGCCATTGGGAGACTGTATTTCTCCAGCGCTGCGCTGTAGTATACGTCTTTTCGGAGTCACACACTGCGCCCGAGCGCCCACTTTTGTTGTCCCTTTTGGCACGGGCATGTCCAATTGTATAGGCAGGGGGGAAGTAGATATGCACCTTTAGGCAGAGCACTTACTATGCGACATAATATACATATACAGAGGCAACTCAATGTGCGCCTCCTCCTCAAGTTCAATAATTGTACAACGATGGCTATGCGGTCGCCATTCGTACAGCTGGCACGCCAAACTGACGTCGTTCTGTTTCACAGCGGCGTCGGATGTGTGGCACGCTCGCGTATTAAAAATACGTTTCCTTTGGTTTTCGATTCGTCACGGCATTTGCCTCCGGAAATGTTGTGACTGTCTTGAACCCACTGTTCATCACAGCTCCGCATGTACTATTCCCTCAGTATTCGATAGCGCCTGACCTGACCAAGCTTTCGTACACCGATAACGCCAACCACAGTCTGGAGGAGCTGGCTCCGAATTCGGTAACGATTGGTCATCGAATATATATTCAATTTAAGAAGCGAACATATTGGCTTTGAATATTTGGCATCGAGTACTGGGGGAATTCGCATGGGGAGTTCTAATGAACAAATGAAATCTATAAACTATCTAACTCTACCAACAACCAAACCAAAATGCAAACCTAAAAAAAAACACAAAAAACCAAAAAAAAAACACAAAAAACAAAACCCCAAAAAAAAAAATTAAAACACAAAAAACTTACAAACGTAAATATTTCTTTCTTTTGGGAAGGGGTTATTTGCGGCGAGCCACAAAAGTATTGCACGAATTTATTCAGTTCATTCGAAGCAGCGCTTCGCAGCAGAGCGGAGCAAAAAATCAAGGAGCAAAGGATTTTAGCTGGAGCGGAGCTGGAGCAAAGAGCTAAAAAAAAATTAATTTGCTCCTTAGCTCCTTAAAGCAAAATAAGCAATACTTTGTTTTTATTGTGTTTTTTCACAAAAAAATTCAATAACAACGTTCTCAAGCTCAATAAAAATAAAAAATAAAAAATGTTCAGTTAATAAATTTACTTAAATTATAATTTTTTTGCCCCTGAAAACAACTGTGTTAAATAAATTTCCATTCTTTTTGATACAGAAGTGTCCTTAGAGCATCTAGATACATTTCTGCATCAAAAAAAAATTTTCAAGAAAATGTCGCCTACGTTTCTTTGGCGGTTAGGGCTCGATATGTAAATAAATAAATAAATAAAAGTTTTTAATTAGGAGCGGGAGTGGAGCAAGTGCAGAGCTCGGAGCAAAATAAAATACCGGAGTGGAGCTAGAGCGGTGCGATGAAAAAAAACTTTGCTCCAAAGCCCTGATTCGAAATTCTTACTACAATTTCAGTGATAACCTGAAAATCTAGGAACGTATGAATGTAATTTGAATATACATTAGGATACACCACAAAAAAAAGTTGCGATTTTTTCCCAACGGATTTATACTACTTAATATATTTTAAGAATTCCGCCAAATTATTTCGAAAAACTTTTTTATGCTGCCCTTTTAAGCTTGAACTCTGAAGTGATTTGTTAGAAAATAAATATATTTAAAAACTAATTTTATTTATAAAAGAATAGATTTTTGGCGATATTTTCAACTAGGTCCAGCTCACGTAAATCTTAATATATTACCGAAATATTTTCGCGGAATGATGTGTATACATATGAATGTATATATACAGTAGGGAGCAGTGATGAGTACATTGTGGATTTTTGTTAAATATTTGCATTTTTTTATAACATTTTTTTGTTATTTTTTCGTAAAAACTTTATACAGAGCTTAGAAAAATTGAACAAACTTTCATTACAATTATGAGGTTTTTAATCTGATTTTTTAGAATTTTTTAAGTATGCAGTTTTGTAAATTTAATATATATCCTTTACTTAAATTTATTTTTTATTTATTTAAAATTATTTTAGTTTAATAAAGTGCAAGTTTTAAGCGTTGATTTTTGAGTTTAGAGAATTTTTTTTGGTGACCGCTTTTTGCACTTTTTTGCATACAAGAAATTCATTCATCTTATGGAAAAAATGCGCAAGACCATTTGCAAGGAAAATTAAAAAAAAATCAACACCAGTTTTTAAAAATTACACTTTTTAAATGAAAAAACCCAAAAGTCGTCAGCAAAAAAATTACAAAAATCAAAGCGATTTTTCAGCCGCTTAAAACTTGTACTTTATTGTACTAAAATTATTAAATTTATAAAACTTCATACTCAAAAAAAAATTCTAAAAAATCTGATAAAAAGCTCAAATTTTAATGAAAATTTGTTCAATTTTTCTAAGCTCTGTATGAAGTTTGATTTATATGGTTTTGGTTAAAGCGTGAACCATATTTTTATATAAAAAAATAACAAAAAAATTTTTACTTTATAAACCTTGCTCCCCACTGTATAGTCGTAGCAATTCATATGTATGCAGTGCACACAGTTTTATGGATTTCGCGAAAATCGGACTACGATTGATTTAGCAAATAGCCGTGACAGTTTTTGACACACATACAAACAAATATTTTTTTTAATATTTCTTAAATTTTTTTGCAGAAACTTATTTAAAAGAACTTGTCTAAACGGCTCTACAAAATTGCGAGTAGTCCGAGTCATCACAAGAATCACTCGCTAGGAAGCAGGCGACTAATACCAGAGAAAATATAAGAGCATATATGTAAGTTCTCTGGTCGCGCTTTTAAAAGCAAACATAAAAATTTGTCACTCGCTGAGATTCGAGCCAGAGATGGAAAATGAAATTTTCAAATTGTACTTAATTTTCATGCAGATGCTGTACATCAAAAGCTTCGCCTTTGTACCTTGCTTACTCTACTTTTGTAAAAACTAACCTTTGGTCTTTCCGCACGTGGGGATACCTTGGTACAAATGTTGGTGGATGTGCTTTCACCTGCAATGTGCTTTGGCTGTGAGGTTTTACAGCCGTAAAAAGCTCAATGGTACCTACCGTAGCTTTAGTTGAGGTGGAAGTCAGCCTGTCTACTACCGCCAAAGCATTTTTCCTTCAGTTGAAAATCGGTTTTGATGATGTACTATTTCTGAAAATAATAAACAATTACTAGAAGAAAACTTACACCTGACTCGCAGGGCCTTTTAAATAAATGCGCCATTTTTTTTTTTAACTCTCACTGAATGAGAACTCCCTATTCCCTCAATAATAATACTGTACAATTTTTGTTTTTGAGGGCTTTGGTTTTTTTTTCTTTTTTTAGCCCTTTTTGTTTTTATTATTCCTGTTTAAGGTTTGTTTCTTTGTAATTTTTTGATTCTTTTTCTTTTGCCAAACTTAATGCTAAATATTTACAAAAATTTAGGTACATAGGAGCTAGGAAAATAAGGTAGTTTTTAGAACAAATATCTCTCATTTTGAACTGGAATGTCTAAGCTCGCAATGCAGTGATTCTTCTAAAATCTTAGCTGGTGGTACTACCCACCGCCATTCATCCGAAATATGGGCCAGATCCTCCACATTTTGGCGCTCAAGGCAAATATACGATGGGATTGAATACTACAATTGGCAATCGCGAAATGAGAAATATTTGTTCTTGTGTTGAGATAGCTTAGATCGTCGCAACATTTCTGGAGGAAAAATGAGCGACGGATCTAAGCTAAGGTTTTTGAGTGAATGCTTTAGAGCATTTGGGGGTAGGCGTGCCATACACCTGACGTTGCGAAGAAGTTGGAACCACTCGCAGATCGCCAGTTTGGCGTGCCAATTGTACGAATGGCGACAGCATAGCCATCGTTGTACAATTTAATTCAGCCGTAGCTGCAAATCTTAAAAGATTTATTTGTTTAAAATCGCGAAATTGCGATTTTGGTTTTGTCACATACAGACTTACTGCCAACATAAGGTGAAAAGAATCCACACGCCCATCAAATGAGAGGAATACAGAGCGATTGGAACAATTCGCCTCCCCACACACTCAGCGAATACCTCCGAAGAGACATACACCAAAATGTGAGAGGATCGCAAGTGCACCTCCTAGTCTGCAATGCCGCTCAATTAACAAACGCGAATGATAAATTCAAAACACAAAATGTCAGGCAGCACTTCCATATGCAACGGGTTTGTTTTTGCCACATTTTAGAGCGGATATCAGAGTGCAAAAGTCATGTTCATGGCGAGGGTAGAACAGTTGCAGCTGAGAATTGGCAGCAATAGACTAACTCACACTGAGCCCACCAAACAGGTGGAGGAACGCCGAGGCGTTAATCCACCTGCCAACCGGTCTTCAGTATGAGTCATTCCAATTGCAACAATGGCAAAAGCATACTACACTTCAACCCCCACCCACTCCTTGACTATTGCACTGCCGTTAACGGCAGCCAAATGCAGCNCCAACCGGTCTTCAGTATGAGTTATTCCAATTGCAACAAAGGCAAAAGCCAACTACAGTTAAACCCCCACTCCTTGACTATTGCACTGCCGTTATCAGCAGAAAAATGCAGCGAGTTTTGAGTCACTCCCCTTGCCAACGACGTCTATTATGAAATATTCCACCCTGCCTCTGAACTTAACAAATCAAACAACAAATCAAAGTTCTCTTTCATCAAACGAGAAGCAGTAACCCCTTTCCCTTGCACTCTAAGCGCTTTGGTATCTATGCGCTTGTTGAGCAGCTGAAAAACTCCGTAAAGCTTTCAGCTACCCCATTACATGCTCATTACACCACTGCGCTTCTAGTCGCAGGAGAAGAGAATTCACTTACATTTCGAATAAAGAAAGAAACTCGATTATTGTAAGATATGCTAAGCGAAGCAAAGAGCTGCTATTACCGTTGAAGCGCGGATGGTTCGAGCTGTGACTCGGTTCACTAGGTTTGTTTTCATTCATTCTTCATCTTCATCTTCATTAATTGAAGAAACTATATACAATATGTATGTATATATGTTCGGCAATGAAAGAACTCCATTGCTGGCGTCCGCAGCCATCTGTAGCCGTGCTCGACACAGCGTGTATCCGCTGTGATGGTGGACCTAAGTTGTCTCCACTATCTGCTCCTCAATTAGAAGTAATAAAGTTTCCAAGGTGAAGCCGTCAAAGCACTACGAAAGTGCAAAGAAGACTTTGCCCCGTAAACGCAAAACTTCTTATAGATTTGTAGACAGCGGAAAATAACTCAGACTCACAATAATTATTTCTTTGCTTATACTAGTGTATATACTAACTCTAAGTAGTAATGTTGCTGCTGTTGCCGTGATTCGCCGACATCACCAAAGTTCAATGTTCAATCACTGCTTCTGTTGGTGCGAAAGTACTGCTTCAGTAATGCGGTAGCGACGTAAGCTGCTCGGACTGTGACGTCATTGTTGAGTCATGACTGTCAGCGTCCTCTCGCCGGTGTTGTGTGCGTTTTGTCGTCATCGGTTTAGTGATTGGAATGTCTGGTTGAGAAGGTGGATGCATGTAGTGTAGTTAGTGTTTATTCATCAGCAGTGGTTCGGCGCTTGCGACACTCTTCGAATGTATGACCACGGAAGTTGCAATGGGTGCACCGTTTGGTACGCTTTGAGCCACGTACTGGACCTGTTTGCACAGCTTCTGATTCCAAGTCATTGTGTTCGATGATGCGCCCCTTCTCCAGCAATTCGCGGAAGGTCTTAAGGTCCTGACGCAGTATATTCCTGCGATACTTGATGTTCAACAGACCATAGACCAAATCCAATTCGGTTTCCTCGTCGTGACGTCCCTCTGGCAGTTGTGCGAGTAGAGCACGCTTCTGACAGATGAATGTGTCAATAGCAACGCTGTCTTCTTGTTTCTTCTCAAAGACCTCCAAGTAAATCTGGTAGGCGGGCTTGGTGGGCGAGAAATGATCGCGTATTAAAGCAATGGCGTCCGCCCACGTTTTCGCTTCTTTGCGCACGCCTTGCCACCAAGTGGACGCCAGACCGTAGAACAGCAAGGAAAGCCCCTTAAGTGCATCTTCATCGCTGATTGACTCGATTTCTTTGTAAGTTACAATGGAGGTGATGAACTCCTCAACGGCTTCGTGGTCGCGCTGACCACCAAATCGGCTGGTGCAGTTGGTGAAGCTGCCCTTGGTTTGGACGGTAGCTGGAGCAACACTGCTAGCGCCTGCTACGGCAGCCAAACGCACTGACTCGATTAGGGACTGCAGTTGATCGGCGGTCATTTGCACAACGGGTTGAGCCATTTTTTTGAATTGAACTTTGGACTTTGTTGATGAGAAATTAAAATAGCACGCACGTTAATAAATGTTTGTTGTTTTGTTGGAATAATTCACTGTTTGTTGTTGTTAGCAGCGAACAAAGCCAATAGTTGTTAGCGAATGTCTTCCTGCTACAAGTAATCTTCACTAGCTGTGGTCGTAAGAGACTGAATTTCGTAGCGAAGGGAGGTGGCTTTTATAGGCACAAAAGCTGAGAGAAAACTACTGTATGTGTAGGTATTTATGTATTAAGATATGTATGTAGTTTTAGCAAAAGCTCGCTACGAATTTTCGACGGCAGTGCAGCTGAAAACCCTGAAAACAGCGCAAATTTCTCTCTACGCGACGATGTGCATAATACACACTTACATTTGCATAAGTAGTACATACTCGTATGTATTTAGTTTGCCGGCAAAATAAAACTAACGCTTTAAAATTTTTCGACCGACTGCAAGAATGAGAATACTTTACATACATATATATTTTATTGGTTTGTATGCATGTATGGTCGAATGTAGGTATATACACAAATATGTATATTTATTTTTGGTAAATGGTTCACATACGGGACAAATAGAATATTTGGAATCAATAGCGATTTCTGCATGTGATGAAATTCTTTACGCCGTATTAAAAAGTGGTATGTAATAATAAAAAAAACTGGGAAACTTTCCTATAACGGCGATGGTTAAAGGGACGGTAGGCTATGGGCGAGGAGCGTGGCACCTCCTACCCCCATTTTAGAGAGGCCATTCACAAAAATTAATCCCAGGGAGCCCTTCGAAAAATGGCCAAAAATCACAATTTTCACTTGCGCTTTTCGCTTAAAAGAGGCTGAATACTCATTTGCACAAGAAATTTTATATACCCTTGACAACAGAAGAGGTGTCCTGCCGCTCTTCTTCGGCAATACAGGAAGGAGAATTTTGCTTGGTAAGTGTTTAGTCTGTTCCTTTGAACTTCGGACTAAAACCTGTGTCAAACTACAATTTTACGCTCTCAAATGAGAGTAAAAGGAGAACAGATGCAAAAGCGCAAAAAGTACAAGAATGATAGAATAGGTTCGTTCGCGTAGCTGTTAATTGTTCATGTTTAACCAAAAC